GAAGGACATTTTTTTTTAAAAGTTTGATTAGAACAGATAATGGTAAAACCCTCTCTGTTTTTTTTGCCACCTATGTCCCATTGGGGGTGGGGATTTCCTTTCACTCCCTGCCCTATAAGCACAACAGGAAGCAAAAGGAAATCTCTCATGTGTGACAGAATTTCCCTCTTAGACGGTTGTCACTTATGTGTCACCATTGGAAGATTTCCCAATTACTTCTGTTCAGGTGAAAACTCAAACTTTTGGATTTTCCATCAGGTTCAATCTGTGTGGCAACAATCACCAAGGGAAACAGAGAGAGTGAATCTCTCATACAGGACACAGAAACTTTAATTTGATGCAAAGGGCAGTGGCCATAAGCAAAGTGCAATAACCAAAAGCAACCAATCAGATTTAATTTATACTGCAGTCACACCGGTAATAGGTAAATCCTGATTGGATGTTATGGGGTATATATTGTATATATTGTGCTTTTCACATTGATCTTCATCCTATTAAATAAGCATGTATGGCTAATGGCTATCGTTAGTGGTTATAGGAGAGTTAATAAACAACAACAGCTATCGCATGCAGATGGAAGCTGCTAAGGAAAACTATATACTTTCAGCAAAGTGCGTACTTGCAGGGAAAGCTCCAAAACACACATTAAGGCCCTAAACACTCATGTGAATGAATGTCATATTAACAAAATCGAGTGAGAACTAAGACACTGTTGCTCAGTCAGAAAATAAAATACATCAACCAATCAACACTATTTTTGAACAGTATAACTGAGCAGAGTGACCCCATTACGGGCTTTATGTGTCATACTGCCCCTTTACTCTTCACCTCTTGTACAAAGAGAACCAATTCAATCAAGTACTCAGATGATGCAATTTACCTGCTATGCCCCTTCCTGCATTCAATATGTAAAAACTACTGTTCCCCTTCCTGCATTCCATATGTCAAAACACTGGCATCGTCCATCGGTCACTGCAGTTTAGACTCAAAGGGTTTCTCCACAAACTTTTTTGATAGAAGGTTATCAGCTCTATATTTAATCCCTCTACCAGTTAGCCAAGATGGGGTTGTTTGAAATAAAATTGTTGAAAACTAACTCTAAATCTGCTGTATAAAACTTTCTGAAGGCCAAAATGTTGCAAAACTGCAGAATTGTAGTATAAAGTGGCAGGGACTAGAGCAAAAGAAAAAGGGGATTCTGTGCAGTGGCAAGGTACCCCTTTTGAGCATCTTTAATGTTGTGTGGCATTTCATTTATGCTGAGGACAGCAGATCCACTAGAACTGAGGAATGTCTGAACAGAGCAATATAAGCTCATATGAGGGTAGGGTGGCAATTGGAAAAAACTGCAATGAATTTGCAGGGTTTGATGCCTTCACTTTTCTTAGTTAGAAAGATTAAAATATTGCAAACAGCTGGGAAGATATCCACGGGAAATGGGAGCTACATGATAGAAGGCAAGGCCATGTGTAATTTTTTGGGTTTAGTGTTTGCTCACATTTGTCCAATCATGCACTAGATAACACAGAAAAATGAAAATCTGTTGGTAGCAGGTTTAGAATGCTAAAAATGCATCTTCTTCATGTAACTGAAGAGGAACATAGAGTTTAAAAGATATTTTAAAGGGTAGCTCTTAAAGTATACCTAAACTCAAGAGAAAAATTATTTTATTGCCGTTTATCAATTCTTACATGTGGTGGCTACATTAATTTTTTTCTTTAGGCTTTTTCCCTTTTATTTTCACCTGGTTATCTGAACAGTAAGTCTGTTATTTTTCTGCTTCCTTTAACAGACGAAGCTGTCCAGCAAAAGTGGCAGTTACAGGGTTAAGACAAACCCTTTACAGAGGTGCTTACAATGGTCAGCATTTATTCATTTGTGTCAAACCTTTATCCCAAAAAAAAAAAAAAAAAAAAAAGTGTTAGCCAGAGTTCAGCCAGCTTCAATTTGTTAGTCACGTTCATACAAAGCTGTTGGGTGTCTAATACTACCCTCTCCCAAAACTGACAATACTGCTTTTCAAAAGTCTCTCTATTGCTTCTGCATAGTGAAGCCACCCTAGGTCAGGAAGTGTGTTACTGTTTAGAGCAACAGGTGGAAAGAAAATAAATAAAAACTAAAAAAATGAAAAATAAATGCAGCCATCGCATTTGGGTATTGGCAAGCCAAAATATATTAAATGTTTGCTTTTGGGTTAAGATATGGTTTAAGCCCTTGCTCACATATGTGCGTTCCTGCGGGCTGCGTTTTTTGCGGGCACGAGAGCCCATTCATTTGAATGGACTCCCGTACCTGTGACACGCAGGGAAGAAGTCCCTGCACTCTTTGGAAACCGCAGCCCGCATGGGAACCGAGGTTCCCATGCGGGCTGAGGTTTCCAAAGAAGTGCGGCCCGCATGGGTCCGCATTCTTCGGTGTGGGTGGTGTGGCTGCACAGATTTTTGTGTGGATCCGCAGTGGCACCACTCGCAGATACAGTTGTGTTCAAAATAATAGCAGTGTTTTGAAAAAAGTGAATAAAGCTCAAAATCCTTCTAATAGCTTTTATTTCCATACACTCAAATGCATTGGGAACACTACACATTCTATTCCAAATCAAAACATGAAGAAAAATATATCAAATTTGTGTTGTTCCTCTAAAAAAATTGAAGAATAGTGAATATTAGACTGTTTAAAAAAAATCGCAGTGTTTGTATTCTTCTTTACAACCTCAAACATTCACTATATAAACTGAAAAATGTTTGAAGATTTTGCTTTCCTTTGAATCACTTAATGAATATTTAGTTGTATAAGCACTGTTTCTGAGAACTGCTGTACATCTGTGTTGCATGGAGTCAACCAACTTCTGGCACCTGTGAACAGGTATTCCAGCCCAGGATGATTGGACTACAGTCCACAGTTCTTCTCTATTTCTTGGTTTTGCCTCAGAAACTGCATTTTTGATATCACCCCACAAGTTTTCTATTGGATTAAGATCCGGGGATTGGGTTGGCCACTCCATAACGTCAATCTTGTTGGTCTGGAACCAAGATGTTGCACTTTTACTGGTGTGTTTGGGGTCGTTGTCTTGTTGGAACACCCATTTCAAGGGCATTTCCTCTTCAGCATAAGGCAGCATGACCTCTTCAAGTATTCTGATGTATTCAAACTGATCCATGATCCCTGGTATGCGATAAATAGGCCCAACACCGTTGTATGAGAAACATCCCCATATCATGATGCTTGCGCAACCATGCTTCACTGTCTTCACAGTGTACTGTGGCTTGAATTCAGTGTTTGGGGGTCGTCTGACAAACTGTCTCCGGCCACTAGACCCAAAAAGAACAATCTTACTTTCATCAGTCCAAAAATGTTGCGCCATTTCTCTTTAGGCCAGTCAATGTGCTCTTTAGCAAATTGTAACCTCTTCAGCACGTCTTTTTTTCAACAGTGGGACTTTGGGGGCTTCTTGCAGATAGCTTGGCTTCACATAGGCGTCTTCTAATTGTAACAGTACTCACAGGGAACTTTACACCTTCTTTGATCTTCCTGGAGCTGATTGTTGGCTGAGACCTTGCCATTTTGGCTATTCCTCTATCCATTCGATTAGTAGTTTTTTCGCTTTCTTCCACGTCTTTCAGGTTTTGGTTGCCATTTTAAAGCATTTGCGATTAGTTTTAGCTGAGCAGCCTATCATTTTCTACACTTCATTATATGTTTTCCCCTCTCCAATCAACTTTTTAATCAAGGTACGCTGTTCTTCTCAACAATGTCTGGAACGACCCATTTTCCTCAGAATCTCAGAGAGAAATGCACTGTAACCAGCATGTACAACATTTGCTGCCTTCCTTCCTTAAATAAGGGCAATAATTGCCGCCTGTTTTTCAAAGAATGAATGACCTCACTAATAGAACTCCACACTGCTATTATTTTGAACATGCCCCTTTCAATTAGTGATTCAATTACACAGAATCAGCAGCATGCATGTCATGACTGTTGGGTCTGTTGGATTTCTATTACTCTACTACACCTGCTAGTAAATTATTTGCCATGTAGAAATATCATTTCTACCAAAAACAGTGATTGATCAGGTTAGTGATGTCTGACTGCTATTATTTTGAACACAACTGTATATGAACCTAGCCTAAGGGAGGTAACTCTGGATACATCTGTAAGTGGAAGAGACTTCTCAATGCATTTGCATATGAGTATAGAAGAGTATCATTATTTGACTCTGTGGAGAAAGACTTTAAGTTGTTTCTTTCAATCATTCTGATTACTGGATGACCAGTATTTGGAGACCGAGCCAGGAAGAAGCAGGAATTAAAAAGAGGTAGTACCTCCTTTACTTTAAAGTATATCTAAAGTCAAAACCTTTTTAAATTTCATATAAAGTAGGAAGTGGTTAACCCCCCACCATTTCTTTTTCTTTGTATTTTCATTGGAGAGATTTCTCTTTATTTCCAATCCTGAAAACACAATGGGAAGCTAGAGGAAATGTCTCTCTTTAAATAGTTGTCAGTAAAACTGCTCTCTCAATTGGAAGGTAACCCCACTTTTCCCATTTCGGTGGTAGCCAAAAAATGTTTGATTGTCCCATTATTTTCTGACAATGCTCACTAAGTTATGAGAGGGATTCTTCCCAGTAGGGACAGACAGTAGAAAAAAAACTAAACAAAGTTTTGGCTTTGGATACACTTTAAGACAAAGATGTCTGACAGAAGTTACTCAGCCGTTAGCCTTGTGAGAGTAATGGGTAACTACGTAGTAGTACTACGCAATGTAAGCAGATTAATGAATGATCCTAATAAACTGCTGATACATATTGGCAGGTCTTTAGCAAATAACTATCCTCCATGTAATGACCTGTGGGTCCTTGTAAGCATGTAAACACTGCATAAAATTTTCATTATTGAGAAGATGCAGAGAACCCTCTACATTATCCAAGTGTCTTCATTGGACAATCTCATACAGGATCATTGAATTCAATTAACGCATAGCACACAAGTCACAGATACACTTCAGTTAATCAGGATTTGTGAACTGAATGGGTACCTATGTGTAAATGGCAATGCATTCTGCGTAGGTTCAGCCCTTGGTTCAGAATTTTGCGTCACTTCTGGGGTTGCTCTTTCATCATCTGTCCCATTGATGCTTTCCGGCGTTAAAGGAGACTGGATATCCCCTCCAGCGGACTCCTTAAATGGAATACAACAAAAAATTACTGCTAGAAAAGGCATCAGCTACACTCTATCTAATCAATGTAATCTTAGCTTAAAATGGAAACCAAAGACTGGTTTAAAAAGTTTGTAAACGTATTGATATAAGAAAAGACTGTAAGCAGTTTGCAATAGAACATTTGAGAAAATTTACTGCAGAGCAACTTAAAGCGATTGTCTAGCCTCCTCTGGAAAAAAAAAAAAAAAACTGTAGCTGCTGACTTTTAAAAAACAGCCACTTACCTGTCCAGGGATTCAACGGTGTGTTCACAGCGGCCAGGTTCATTGGCCTCCCTCTGTCCCTGGCGCTGACATCCTAAATGCCATGCTCAGCATTGTGAATGGTCCTGCAGTCTTCTGGGACCGGTCACGTGTCCCAGAAGACTGCATGAAGGGAGGGGAGGAGGAAAACGTCTGCTTCTGATCGCCAATCGGCAAGTCAAAATGGAAGAGGGTACCTGTCAAAATCGGGTACCCGATTCCCCTCCTCCCCCACTCCACAAAGGTGTCAATTCTTCACGGGAAATGGTGGTCCAGTCTTTAAAGTGGAACTTCCCCTTTTCGGTGGAGCTCCACTTTAAGTTACCGGATAGGAATATGAATAAAAATAGACAAATGTACATGCCAGATTTCTAAAATCATTTGGTCACAGCCCATTTGAACTTTCAGTTTAAATCAGCTGAATACATTCCAGGCACAGTAAAAAGGTGTGTAAAGGGTTAATTTTCTTTAGAAACCAGACAGTCCAAGTGAAAAAAAAAAATCTGTATTTCTTAAATCTGTAAGGACTTTTTCACTTCTGTGTGGAAGCAGTGGTCTCTCTGTAGAGTTCTGACAACCCCTCCAGAGAAAGGTTGCATTCACACCTGAGCGTTTTGTAGCTTGAAGCTCAAAGCCACTCAGCTAGCAAAATCTCCCTTTGATTTCAACATCCCTTGTTCACATCCGAGTGTGAACAGGGGCCATTGAAATGAATAGAATTTTGCTTGCTGAGCATCTGTGAGCTTTGAGATAGAAAATGCCCAGGTGTGAATTTAGCATTTGGGCAAAATCTCCCCAACATGGAGCCAGAGTTTTTTTGATTGCAGAGATATAGATCTGATTTAGCAGGAGGCATAGTGGACCACTACCAAGACCATTGTTTCCACACCAATTGCAAGGGTGTCTCTACAGCATGTCAGCAGGGCACAGACTTTTCTGCTCGTGCCGTTTCTGCTTTCTAAAGAAATTAACTAAGACATTGAACAATTTGTTTTTATGCACCTAGAAGTTTGGGCTTTAAGGATTCTAAAGTCAGCTGCCAGGTTCCTCTGCTATTAGCATGAATCACTTCTGTTGAGTTTTCCTTACAACTATGGAGCTAAATGGTGACAGGGACAGGCACAGCCTGTGATTGACAGCCTCAGTTCTGTTCAAGTGTGCTGTGTGAAGGCGGTGTGCCCCTTCTTTCCAATCAGCTCTCAGAGCTCTCCTCACTGAGGTAACCAACTCCCCTCCCCCAGCTTTTCAGTGCTGAGAGATCCTGTGTAAATTCTGAACTTTAAATGAATGTTGGAGACAGACAGCTATAGATAAACAGGTACAACATATGTAGGAGGATTTGTTTCATCTCTGTGTATCACCTGAAGCCCGTCACTTTACTTGGTATATGTAAGGGTTTACAACCATTTTAAAGTAAATCTTAACTTACTGGATAGCATTTGATTTTCTAAAGCACTGTACATTCAAACAAATGCCATGGCATTTTTTCCCCCATTTTTTTTTTTTCCTTTTTTTTTTTTTTTAATTTCAGTGCTGACCTTCTCCAGTCATTTCAGCTACTTCTTCCATTGCATTACTCTAAAACAGATTGCTAATACTGACAACGATGGACCAAGTCTGTGTCAGTATGGCCACTTGAAGTCTCAGTCAGGGATGTTTGTGACAATATCTTGTTAAGGGACAGTTTTCACCCCATAACAGGAAGTGCCTGAACAAGGACCTTCATGGTAGGATTACCAGGTTTTATTTAAATTAAAGCTGCATTTAAAGAAAAAAAAAAGAAAATAGAGAAAAAGGATACAAATACAACTTTTTGAATTACACTAACATGGTAAACCTTATATGGGATTTTATCAATTCAGTTTATCTCCGCTTTAATCTGTCACAAACCTTGGACATATGAATCAACAAGTGGTGAAGAAAACCCATAGTTACAGGTTACCTTTGGTGAAAAACACCTCTAGACCCAGAGACCAGAATCTCTACTTTTCCTGTAAAAAAGGCAAAAAACTGCCCCCCATTGTTCCTCCCTCCTGAGCCCACCATGGTTGCTTTAAGTGATGGGTGGCCTCACCTATCAATAGGGAAATTTAGAAAAGTGAATTGGGCCAGTGACAAGCTCAGCTTTTACAGGAAAAACTGGAGAATTTAATTGATCATTGGCTACCTATATCACAAATCTACTGATTTTGCAATGCAGTTTTTAAAAAATGTAATCTTTGAATGTGTATTGTTTCATAGCATGCTCAATTTAAACTGCCCAGGAATACTTCAAAGAAGAACTCTAGCTTGAAAAATTAACAATCCAAGAAATTTTGAAAATTATAAAAAAGCAGCTCTTCCTGTAATACACACCTTTTCTCCAGTGCGGTCTCTGCAGAAGCCCTGCTTCGCCGCATGCCACTGGTCCACTTTTGGGTTGAATATTGGCCAGCTTGTGAGCCCAAGCTTTCATGATTACACCTTATGTTGGCCTTAACCTGGGCTCACCAATAACACAGAGATCAGTGCTGATGTCTAATATCACCACCTCCTTCTGCAGTATTGAAGACCACACACTGGCACTGTAGTAAGAAGAGGACCCATCGATGTCACATGAATGACCAGAAGACTATACAGTTTAAGTTATGTTTAGAGGTAGATTTTTTTTAAATGAGTTTGAGAGGGTTTTTTTTTTTTTTAACTGGTAGGTCTGCTTCAAATGTAGGGGCATTAATCAAATTGGTACATTGCATGGATGTGGATCTTAATAGCATAATACCTTTTTCATAAGTACTTTTTAGGGGAGAAAAAAAAAAAATCACCCATTAAACAACTCCGGATACAACTACAGGTCTGTACTATATACTGTACACAGCCACATTTCCATGCTGGAATGTATTAAAGCAGATCATCTCTGACTTAGATACTCAGACAAAACAATTTTTGAAAATGATTTACACAACGGGGAACAAGAAAAATAGATATTATCTACTTGCTATATTACAAAAATCATATTCACATATATCCAGCTGGTAAAAGGATTTACACCTCAAATTTACAAATGACCAGAACCTAAGAAATTCAAGAACTGGCAAAATTCAAGAACTCCTCAGTAAAATGGTTGAGTGCCACCTCATTCATGTGCAGGTGTAATTCATGCATAGGCTCATAGTTGTATCTGTGGTATCATGCACTTAGAAATATGATATAATTCTTTCAATATTGTCCAACCCATATACAAATTCAGTGCTGACAGTTTACATGTGCGCTGAGTAGATAATAAATTATGTATTCACATATAACAAAAGAATGGTGTCTCATCAGTGAAAGATCAAGGTGAATGGCTTATCTAGATTTATGTATGGACGAAAAAAGTTACTATCATGTCAACTATAATGTTTGATGTCTATAAAATAATGTAACAGGAAGATTACCTTCATTAAATTGTAAAGCTGCAGCATGGCCAGCATCAGAGTTTTATCAGCATAGCACCTATTGAATAAGAGATGTCCTCTATCCCTGACTACCCTGTTGTAGACTCATGTATGTCATATGACTGCAAGGGAAGGCTGAGACTGAAGACTTCCAGCTCTTCTAATTTACTCTAACACACCAATAAAATCACTGAATTCAAGTGTTTTCAGTGCTGTTAGTGCCACACCTTACAAAGCTACTTAGACAATTGTGCATTCCCAACCTTGCACCAACAATTTGGAGAAGACTCTTATCTGTTCCAGCATAACTGTGCCCCTGTGTACAAAGCCAGATCAATAAAGACAGAGTGTGAACACACCTCTGACAAGCCCCCAATTATGTGGACCATGACGAATTAATGTGAAGAGAGAAAAAAAAAGTGGTTTTTCCCAAAATTACTTTTTTTTTTATGATGGCTTTTAAAAATGACAAAAGCAAGTTGGATGAAAGGGATTTTTTACTTAAAACTATCTCAGACGTGGGAAGCTAGGTTCAGAGATTTAACCACTGAAATCCTCAAGAAACTGAAGAATCCAGTGGATGATTTAATCTGCCAGCATCCCAAAATGGAGATATCAAGGCTGATCTATAAATGGTGCCACACGTATAGAAAGGCTCTGAAAAAATTGTGTCTGGCAGTACATTATAAGGCACAACCTACAGAAGCAATGAATAAGATCTAAAAATAAATCATACAATAACACAGATTATATATTCTCCATTGTGTCACCTTGCAAACTGCTACTTTGACAGAATAAATCAGTAAGCCCTAAACAATAAAGCTGTGGGCTCCATTTCAGTAATATGATGCAAGTGCCGAGCATGAATAAAATGTTCAGCTTAAACAAGAGGACTAAAATAAATGGAACATCTAAACGGATTAGAATTTTGAGTCAGCAAGCTCTCAATCTCTACCACCTATCAGTGGACATGGCCAAACCATTGCCAGCTGCGATTAAATCTCTGCCCAGCCAATTTGGACACCTGTGTACTAGAAGCTGAATTACAATCAAGCTCTTATTCTACAGGAAATGAGCAGATGTCAGGTGTAAATGGACTTCAATCAAATGAACAAGACTGAAGAGAGGACAAGAAAGAAGTGTAAGGGTTAGTAATCAAATGCCGAGTTATAGAAAAACACCCACAAATAATGTTTAGACCCGTTTCTGTCTTGAGACGTGGATCACGGGTACTCTTTCCCCACTTAATGTTGAAACACTTTATGAACCAGGCCTTGGATTCTTCTTTCGCCTTTATTTTTCCTCCAGTATGTTTTTCTTGTACTTGCTGATTTCTATTGCTGTCCGCTTCAACCAAGAAAGTCTAAACACATAGTACCACAACCTAAAAAGCAATCACACAGCAGGCCCCTTACCACCCTAAAAAAAGCCAGATTACTAGAACAACGGAATTCTGCACCCACCACTAGCTGGAGATACCCTGTCAAATATAGCATGAACCTAAAAACATCTGCGCAAATAGTTTAAAACACACAGGTGCTAACCAAACACTGAATGGACTTTAATGTTCCCATCTTTGTTTACCTGCATTTGATATCATATATGTTGTGTTTTATAGTACAGGTATTAAAGCCTGCAAAAAAAAAAAACAAATTAAAACAAAGGTGGCAAGGCATTACCTGTGAAGGCGTACTAGTCAGTTCCATTTTTTCTTGGGATTTCTCCTTTGCTAATCGAGCAGCTTCTTTAAATTCCTGAAATTTTTCTGCAAACTGCATTAAGAAAAAATATATAGTTAATATCCAACAAACAACTGTACAGAAGCAGAAGGGAATTCTACAATGCTGCAGCATGGACAAAATAATTGTGTGCAGTATTTCTGGTTTATTGCATTGTATGTAATGCCCTTTGTCCATTTAGAAAAGTTGTGTTCATGCCATTTTAAGAAACTATTAGAAGAGCAGACTCTAGGTCAGCCAGCCATTCTTATCCAGGGTTCCTCCAGAGGTTGCTAGGGGTTCCTTGAGCTTTGGCCAATTGAACTCCCTTTCATTGTGCCTTCAGAAATCCATGTCCCATCACCTCTTAGCAAAGCCAGTAGAATGACAGTGATCTTTAAAACAGTCTGCAAGGATTGCATTCTAACCACCACTGTAAGGAGGTTCAGACTTTCCACTGGCCACCGATGCAGGGGAAATGTTTATAGTGATCCCCAATGGCCCAATCTTCGCAGGGCTTTCTTGAGACGTGACAATTATTTCAAGGACTTCTATGGAGTAAAAAGGTTGAGAAAGGCTGCTCTATGATAACAAAAAAAAATGGCTAGGGAATTCCTAGGTTTTATAAGCTTTACTTGTTCCCTAAAGACAGTTTGGCAATCTACAGTTAAGGTTTGCAGCCACTAGGAATGTATAACATGTATTATTCTTCTGTTTTTTGTTGTCATTTATGGTTTTGTTCATAAATATCAAGAAATATCCACATGCAGACATAAATGGCTGAAAGCCACTGGCTGTTTACAAATATTTCAACTTTTCTAACTTCTCCATAAAGCAAACACACATATGTTCAATTAAAGGAGGATACAGGTCAGAAAAAATTTTTTTTTTTCCTTAAACAAGTTAAAGAACAGTAATATCCACACCATTCAGGCCAATTTTCTCAATGTACATAGATGTTAGTGTGGTTATGTAACCCTGTTAACTTACTTATGTTGAGTTGCAAGATGCACCATGTGTTTTTATAGTACTGGAAAGAATAATATCTGCCTGCCGTTCAAGAATAATGATTTCATAGCACATGAACATCTGTGTAAAAAAAATTCAAACTCAAAAAACAAACCCACATAAAGGAGAAAATTAAATAAATGCAAGAATATTAATTGTATTTCCTGCATCTTAAATAGCTGGCTCCAGGACATGACTGGTAATCTGGTAATGACAACATCTACAGTTGCAAGAAAAAGTATGTGAACCCCTTGGGATTACGTGGAGTTTTGCATGAATTGGGCATAAAATGTGCTCTGAACGTCATCTAAGTCACAACAATAGAAGAACACAGTCTGCTGAACATAATACTACACAAACATTAGATGTTGCCATGGTTTAATTGCACATAACATGTAAACATCAGAGAGATAGCAAAAACATTAGGCGTGGCCAAAACAACTGTTTGGAACATTCTTAAAAAGAAGGAACGCACCGTTGAGCTCAGCAACACCAAAACACCTGAAAGACCACGGAAAACAACTGTGGTGGATGACCGAAGAATTCTTTCCCTGGTGAAGAAAACACCCTTCACTACAGTTGGCCAGATCAAGAACACTCTCCAGGAGGTAGGTGTATGTGTGTCAATGTCAACAATCAAGAGAAGACTTCACCAGAGTGAATACAGAGGGTTCACCATAAGATGTACACCATTGGTGAGCCTCAAAACAGGAAGGCCAGATTAGAGTTTGCCAAACGACATCTAAAAAAGCCTTCACAGTTCTGGAACAACATCCTATGGACAGATGAGACCAAGATCAAACTTGTACCAGAGTGATTGGAAGAGAAGAGTATGGAGGAGGAAAGGAACTGCTCATGATCCTAAGCATACCACCTCATCAGTGAAGCATGGTGGTGGTAGTGTCACGGCGTGGGCATGTATGGCTGCCAATGGAACTGGTTCTCTTGTATTTATTGATGATGTGACTGCTGACAAAAGCAGCAGGATGAATTCTGAAGTGTTTCGGGCAATATTATCTGCTCATATTCAGCCAAATGCTTCAGAATTTATTGGACGCCGCTTCACAGTGCAGATGGACAATGACCCAAAGCATACTGCAAAAGCAACCAAAGAGTTTTTTTAAGGGAAAGAAGTGGAATGTTATGCAATGGCCAAGTCAATCACCTGACCTGAATCCAATTGAGCATGCATTTCACTTGCTGAAGACAAAAATGAAGGGAAAATGCCCCAAGAACAAGCAGGAACTGAAGACAGTTGCAGTAGAAGCCTGGTAGAGCATCACCAGGGATGAAACCCAGCGTCTGATGATGTCTATGCATTCCAGACTTCAGGCTGTAATTGACTGCAAAGGATTTGCAACCAAGTATTAAAAAGTGAAAGTTTGATTTATGATTATTATTTTGTCCCATTACTTTTGGTCCTTTAACAAGTGGGAGGCACATATGCAAACTGTTGTAATTCCTACACCGTTCACCTGATTTGGATGTAAATACCCTCAATCTAAAGCTGACAGTCTGCAGTTAAAGCACATCTTGTTTGTTTCATTTCAAATCCATTGTGGTGGTGTATAGAGCCAAAAAAATTTAGAATTGTGTCGATGTCCCAATATTTATGGACCTGACTGTATCCTCTCTACACAATATTTTTATTTTGTTTTTAATCACTGGTGGCTGCAAAATGCTTGTATAGCCACCATATATTATAATATTACTGAAAGTGTGTTGTTTTCAATACGTAGTTGACGGTTGATAGATGTTTGCATGGTTTTGTACTCATTTGATCCCTCACACACAATATACCGAGCACTTGAATTTTCAGAATGCATCAGTATATCGGCAAAAGATGGCTACGTCATATGCTTAAAAACGAAAAGGCTAACAATGTTTGAAAAAAACAAAAACCTAAGCAGCTGTTAGTACAAGCTGTGCATCTATAACATCCATAAACATACCGTGTGCTATTCATATACTGTAATTCTAATACATAACATGACCTAAGTACAGGCAGCCTCAATTTGCCTTGGACACACAGTCTGCCATGCAGTTTATTCTAAAATTATTGTTCTCACTCTAGCGTGCACGGCAATATGGAACAAGTGTATGGCAATCAACATTTTCACGCATAGACACCCCAGACGCATGCATGTGTGTGTGTGTATATATATATATATGTGTGGGAGGGGGGGGGGCTCAAAATTTTATTGGGAGGGGATTTTATGTGCTTAAGTGTAAAGTTATTTTGTGAAAAAAAAAAAATCTTTTCTTTTTGCTTAAAGCGGAGTTCCTGCAGCCACCGGATTGTGTGTAAACCCCTCCCCCACTGTCAGGTATATGGTGTACATTGTATGTCAGGTATATCAGTTACATCGTATGATGCCTGGCAGCAAAAGGGTTAACATCTTCACATTGGAAGATACAAATGAAAAAATTTGATGTGTTGCCTATAGTAACAAGTTCTTCATGAAAGGAGAACTGGTTATTATAAGCAACATAGATTGTGCTTTCAGATACTCTGATGTATGGCGTCTGTTGAGAATTAGATATACATCAAGCCTCAGCAAATGCCAAGTTCCACAATGATGGCAACAATAATGAAAGCACACCCACAGTCTTGCCAAACAAAATGTTTTGGAACTTTTTATTTCTGAAAGTTTCTGGGTACTTTGTAAGGTTGATATTAAAGAGGAACTAAACTCTCTCAAAAATTAATAATTTTACATTTCTTTATTTGCTTCTTGGTTTCTGGCCTAGATCAAAATGATGTCATATATCCGAGGAGTCTTCATGAGCATTTTTTTTTTCTTTCATCTGAATGTGGGGCTCTCTCAGCTAACCATATTCTCATGCCTGCATGCCTGAGCTAAGGTCAGATAGATTCCAGGAAGTAAATACTGCATCAGGGGTGCTCATCCTGTCGCCCTCAGAGCCCTCTGATGTGACTCTCAACCTTAAACCAGGGAAGCACATGCCTGGGGTCAGCAACCCTTTGATCGCAATTTGGGCTTGCCAACCCACCATCCCAGAGCAGCAGAGTGCATTGAGTCTGCACCGGCAGTGGAAGAAGCAGGCATCTGCAGAGAGAGCAGAAGCTGCATAAGCCGATGCTTCCTATGTAGCTCTGGCTCCTGTACCAGGCAGACTGATATACCTGTTTTTACCACTACAACCCCCCCCCCCCCCCCCCAACACCACAGCTACTCATGTAGCATCAGGTCACAATGGCGACCCCGCTCCATGCTCCAGGGGGCCAGCTGGCCTACCTATCACATTCTGTTTTAGACCTCATGTACACTGGACATTTTTGCAGCTGCTTCTAGGGGTGTCAGGCGGTTTTTTTCCAAAGCCCCCAAAACTTCCCTGCATGTTAGCCTATGTGTCCGTGCACACATAGGCTTTTAGATGCATTTAGTGGCAGGAGCTGTTAGAGGCAGTAAAACAAAACCCATTGCCAGTGCGTCCAGGAGTAGCAGAGTTTCGGCAGAAAAACCACTTGGTACTGCTAAACGAGCCTAAAACTCGTCTAAATGTGCCTAAACGCTTGGCATGTTTAGCACTTGAGAGTTTATTCATTTTAAAAGCCAGATTAAATTATTCTAGCCAATGAAATTAATTAACGTTCAAGCTCTTGAAACCTGTAACACATGCCTAAAAGCTTGTTAAAGCTTTAGACACTTTAATAAGCGTCAGGATTTGTTTCTGCAAAAATGCGTCTGCCTGAAGGAGAGACTATTAGGAGAGTATGCAAAACGTCCTGTGTGCATGAGGCCTTACACTTGGACAGGAGGGGCGGTGAGGGTGGCATATACAGGAACCAATCCTCTCCATGTTCCTCCTGCAACCGCTGAGAGGAGGCTTCTCCTCCTCTCCCTCCTGCCAGCATTCACCAGCTGCAAGAAGAAAACATTAGTTATGCTATTCAAAATAAAAAATTCGAAACTCTGAACCATTTCATTGCATTGTGGCCCATGACCAATAACCAAATTACTCAAGTGGTCCTCACTCTTCAAACAGTTGAGCATCCCTATACTACCTGAATCATCTGCCCTTAATCAAGATGGCCACAGCTAGAAATGCTTGGGGACATTTTTCAAACTGTATGGAGACATAGATGGATAAGCCAAACTTATATTTTCCACACAACTTATCATTTCTGTTATAGTAACAAGCCAACAGTATGGAGGGATACAAAATAGTAGGAATTTTATAGAACAATTCCAAAATACACCAAAATAGTGTCTTCCTTCACAGCATTAGGTATCTTACAATTTTCATCACCATACTTTGAGCAATGTAATATGAACCAGCACTCATTTTCCAACTATTTTATTCAATAGATTTCTTTCATATCATGCATTTTTATAATTACATTCTAAAACACACGGTACTAGAACAGTTTACTCACTTTTGTGAGATGATGCTCAGAGGAGAAGCCCAGGCCATACACTGTATTTGCCCTGCTGTCTGCCCATTGGCCAAACTTCTGGGATGTTTTAGTGAATGTCATGTTGGGACTGATGGTGCTATTAATTATTGCCTGTAATTCATAAAAATATATAATTAATCCAAATTCAATACATAAAAAATAATATCAGACCTTTTCACAATATTATCCCCTTAGGGAAGGTCCCTTATTGAAGTCTTTCATGACAAGTTCACCGGACTTTTTAGAGAAGCAGGAGACATCAGTTTTTGAGAAACACTTAAATTGTAGCTTTAAAACTGACCAGTCTGAAGATTAATTTTTGCCACTGTAGCTGCATGTAGAAAAGCAATTATCTGATCCCCTGCTGATTTTGGAAGTTTGCCCACTTACAAAGAAATGGTCTATAATTTTTTAATATTGGTGTATTTTACAGAGTCTTGAAAAAGTATTCATACTCCTTGACATTTTCCCCATTTTGTCATGTTACAACCAAAAATTTAAATGTATTTTGAGATTTTATGTGATAGACCAACACAAAGTGGCACATAATTGTGAAGTGGAAGGAAAATGATAAATATTTTTTTCAAATAAATATCTGAAAAGTGTGGCGTGCATTTGTATTCAGCCCCCTTTTAATCGGATACCCCTAACTAGAATCTAGTGCAACCAGTTGCCTTCAGAAGTCACCTAATTAGTAAATATAGTCCACCTGTGTGTAATTTATTCTCAGTATTATTACAGTTGTTCTGTAAAGCCCTCAGGTTTGTTAGAGAACATTAGTAAAAAAAATAGGATCATGAAGGCCAAGGAACACACCAGACAGGTCAGGGATAAAATTGTGGAGAGGTTTAAAGCAGGGTTAGGTTATAAAAAATATCCCCCAAGAATTGAACACCTCAAGGAGCACTGTTCAATCCATGATCTAAAAATGGAAAGAGTATGGCACAACTGAAAACTAACCAAGACATGTTCGTCCACCTAAACTAACAGGCCAAGCAAGGAGAGAATTATTCAGAGAAGCAGCCAAGAGGCCCATGGTAACTCTGGAGGAGCTGAAGAGATCCACAGCTTAGGTGGGAAAATCTGTCCACAGGACAACTATTAGTCGTGCACTCCACAAATCTGGCCTATGGAAGAGTGGCAGTAAGAAAGCCATTGTTGAAGGAAAGCCACAAGAAGTCTTGTTTGCAGTTTGTGAGATGCCATATGGGGGACATGGACAACATGTGGAAGAAAATGCTCTGGTCAGATGAGACCAAAATTGAACTTTTTGGCCTAAAAGCAAATTGCTATGTGTGGTGGAAAACACTGCACATCACCCTGAATCCCCTGTGGGGATGCTTTTCTTCAGCAGGGACAAGGAACCTGGTCAGAGTTAATGGGAAGATGGATGGAGCCAAATACAGGGAAATCTTAGAAGAAAACCTGTTAGAGTCTACAAAAGACTTGAGAGTGGGTCGGAGGTTCACCTTCCAGCAGGACAACGAGCCAGAGCTACATTGGAATGGTTTCGATCAAAGCATATTCATGTGTTAAAATGGCCCAGTCAAAGTCCAAACCTTAATCCAATTGAGAATCTGTGACAAGACTTGAAAATTGTTTACAGACACTCTTCATCCAATCTAACAGAGCGTGAGCCAGTCTGCAAAGAAGAATGGGCAAAAATGTCACTCTCTAAATGTGTAAAGCTGGTAGAGAAATACCCAAAAAGACTTTCAGCTGTAATTGCAGCAAAAGGTGGTTCTACAAAAGTATTGACTCGGGGGGGCTGAATACAAATGCACGCCACACTTTTCAGATATTTATTTTAAAAATTTTTTTTAAACCATTTATCATTTTCCTTCCACTTCACAATAATGTGCCACTTTGTGTTGGTCTATCACATAAAATCCCAATAAAATACATTTATGTGTTATAATCTACATATTTTGACAGGAGATTGTTCATTTGTATTACCTGTTATATGAAAAATTGTTCAATAAAAACTATTGGAATATAAAATACACTTATGTTTTTGGTTGTAACATGACAAAATGTGGAAAATTTCAAGGGGTACGAGTACTTTTTCAAGGCACTCTAAATGATAGACAGAATATCAATCAAAAATCCAGAAAAAAAAAACACATTATACAAATGTTATAAATGGAGTTGCAGTTTGGTGAGTAAAATCAGTATTTGATCCCCTACCAACCAACAATAATTAGGGCTCTCACAGACTGGCTATGTGCTCATGTGGTACACAGATTAGTCCTGTCAATTTAAGAAGGTGCTCCTAACGACAACACGTTTGTGTATAATAGACCTGTCCACAGAATCTCTCTTTCTTCCATTCAAACCTCACCATCATGGGCAAAATCAAAGAACTGTCAAAGGACGTCAGGGACAAGATTGTAGACCTGCACAAGGCTGGAATGAGCTACAAGACCATCAGCAAGAAGCTTTGTGAGAAGGAGACAACTGCTGGAGAGATTATTTTCAAATAGAAGAAATACAAAATAACCATCAATTGCCCCCGGTCTGGAGATCCATGCAAGATTTCGCCTCATGGGGTATGGATGATCATAAGAAAAGTGAGGGATCAGCCCAGAACTACACAGTAGGAGCTTGTGAATGATCTCAAGGCAGGTTGGACCACAGTCACCAAACAAGCCACTGGTAATACAATACGCCGCCATGGATTGAAATCTGCAAGGTCCCCCTCCTCAAGAAGGCACATGTACAGGTCCATCTGAAGTTTGCCAATGGACATCTAAATGATTCAGAGGAGGATTGGGAGAAAGTGTTGTGGTCAAATGAGACCAAAATTGAGCAATTTGGCATTAAATTGACTCGCCATGTTTGGAGGAAGAAAAATGCTGTCTATGACCCTAAGAACACCATACCTACAGTCAAGCACGGAGGTAGAAACAATATGCTTTGGGACTGTTTCTCTGTTAAAAGGTAGAGGCCGACTTTGCTGCATTGAGGGGCCAATAGACGCGGCCATGTAAAATCATGGATGAGAACCTTCTTCCCTCAGCCAGAACACTGAAGATAGGTTGTTGATGGGTCTGCCAGCATGACAATGACCCAAAACATACCAAGGCAACAAAGGAGTGGCTCAAGACGAAGTACATTAAGGTTATGGAGTGGCCTAGCCAGTTTCCCGACCTTAATCCTATAGGAAATTTATGGAGGGAGCTGAAACTTTGAGTTACCAAGCGACAGCCAAGAAACCTTAAGGATTTAGAGAAGATTTGTAAAGAAAAGTGGACTAAAATCCCTCCCGAGATGTGTGCAAACCTGGTAACCAACTACAAGAAACGTCTTAGCTCTGTGCTTGCCAACAAGGGTTTCTCCACCAAGTACTAAGTCATGTTTTGGTTGGGGATCGAAATAATTTTTTTTTTTTTTACTCACTGAACTGTAACTTCATTTATATCGTGGTTTTTTTCTGTATTTTTGGTTGATATTATGTCTCTTATCGGTATTCAAATACACCTATGATAAAAATTATAGACCCTTCATTTCTTTGTAAGTGGGCAAACTTACAAAACTGGAAGAGGATCAAATAATTATTTTCCCCACTGTACGTGTTAATTTTGTGTTGAATAAGCAAAATTCTATTAGGAAAACATTTACTTCAAACAGAGATTTCTGAACTCTATCGCATGTCACTTAACGTGCAGTGCATTGTTCTCCACAGGCTACAGATGATAGAAGAAGGTAATAATATTAATTGGTAATTTTCTTTTCTGGGCTTATGGAAAAGGATGTCAGCTATGTGTCAAAAAATTGAGACCCCCTTCATTACACCCCATTAATATGAAATATCTCTTGCTCTGAAATTACCAGTGTGTTATTAATAAATGTCAATAAACCGTTACAGAAATAATGATGCCATTTATGTACAGTGGCCCTTTAGTTGTAAACCATACACAGAACACTTTAACATATAGTCTAATCGGATCCATACATGAAGATCATTGTCAGAGTTTAACTAAACACTTAGTTTTCCTTTGTCTAAAGTAGTGACTTTCAAAATTTCCTTTCACCAAGTTCTCACATACTTGTCACAGATGATCATTGAGCCTCGAGTCTCAATTACTTGTCACAGATGATACCTGGATGTCACCTTTCCTATAAGTTACTGGTAAAGTCATCCTTAATGCAAGAGGTAAACAAAAATCTAATTGATACACATTTTGTAAAAATGTGTAATTTTTATCAAATTAAAGTGATAAAAAGAGAAACAATGGGTAGCTTTAAAACTAAAAGGCTTTAAGGCCTCACTGTCTTGGATACCAGGATTTAGGTGTAGCCAGCCTTATAGTATAAAGAACCATTGGTCCAAATTACACAAAATAAAATCTCTGCAAATGTGTGTAGGAAGACTAATGAAACCGGGGCAGGGACCTTACATTCACCACTTAAATGCTAAGCATATAAACTGTTTTTGCACTTCTATGACAATGAAAAACATGCCCCTTCCCGCATCCCAAAATAAAATGCCTATAAAGCCTATCATCAGGCCTAGGCATTATCAGGTGGGAAAGGAAGACTGTGTTAACGACCACCAGAAAGTTGATATTCCTCAGCACCAGAGGATTTGTACAGCTTGAACATTGAAAATGTGAAGGTAGCGTATATATATGCCAACAATAGTATAATATATGCAGCTTCAAACTTTTTCCAAGACTCCCAAGAGTCTAACTATGCAAATAATAACCTACGAAAACTGGACTGCGATTTTCCCTTTTTTCTCCCGTACCTCACTATTGGTCAGAGAGGCCATCCATTACAATTAACAGGCAAAATTGTGTGAGATGGGCAGGTATAACTGGATACCCTGTGTTTTAGAATGCCTCAGCACATTAAAAGAAAGTAAAACCTACCGTAAGTGCAAGTACTAAATTTGTAATAAAAAAAAGTCATAAAATGTTTACAGTACAGCGTTGCATCTTAATATGTGACCATGTTACCATCAAGGTGCTGTTTTATTAATGCACAGACTATATACTAAATACCCTGAGGGAGACCTTGCTGTTTAGCTACTCCCTTTGCCTGTGGTTTATCCAGACCTCTTTGATGACAGAGAATGTCACAAGGGAGGCCCAGAAGTCTGGCTAAAATGTGTAGAATAAAATATTTAAAAAAAAAAAAAACAAAAAAAAAAAAAAAAAAAACACAACATCACCTTTAATAAGTCTTCCAGCTCAAATAATGTTTTTAGGCATTACATCAAACTTTTAAAGATTATGATTTTTTTCTTCACTTATTACTGGTGTTGAACATTTTGCAGACTATGCTCTTTGACCATTTTTAACCACATTGTTGTTTAACAAAAACATGAGAAAAGCTTTTGGCTTGAGAAAGAGTTGGGTGCCTCGAAACATTGTCAATGAGACCAAGTTTAGCTTCTGTGGATTCAGGAAGTTACTTACAGCAGCATCTGACAGTGCCGTGGTTGGCCCAGAGTGGCGGTTCTTTGTGCCTCTTACAGTCCACTCTTTTCGGCTTTATCTCTCTCAGCAGTATCATGTGTCTGACCCCGAGTCCTCTAGTGGCCACAGGTGGAGCAGAATCTCAGCAACACAGCGTATAGTACACTGATCCCTGAGCACCTGGCTGTCTACCTTCCAGGCAAGTGTTGTTTGTGCAACTAAGAAGATAGCTTTTTTTTGGGGGGGGGGGGGGCTTCCTCATGGAGCTCCTTGGTGACTTTCAAGCCTTCTTGCTTATTACCTCATCTGGACATGGCATTGGAGCTTTTTATGTGACACTGCCTTTCACAGGTGCAGTTGGGCTGTTTGTTGGGACTAAATACAGTCCATACCAGACACTGTATTGCACCTCAGGGCCATACCTAACTTGTTTGGTGGTAGGATAAATCATTGCAGGCTGGTTCCATCCCTTGGATTTTACGCCAGCAGCTCCTCCTTATAGAGGGACTCATTATATGAATGCTCCTTTAAGAATTTTTTAATTATATATGGTTTATGGCATTATATATATGGTTTTACCATTTGATGTGGTTTTTGATCCAAATTTGCTATCCAAGTCTCAGTGCCATTACCACTACTTTTCACATTTTGTGGTTTGCAAAAGCTCACTTTGCACCTGCGATGACCAGGATTCTCCACTGAAGTCATAAGACCACAGTGGCTGCCTTACTCTTCAGGCTTAAGCAAAAGTTAAACACATCTTGCAGTTATTGGTTTTGTAGTACAAGTGGTAATGAAGGGTCTTCAAACCCCAACAAAGATCTTCATACTGTATATCTTCAGCTGAATTATAGGAGTTTCATCCTTTGGTTTACCATAGGCACCAAATTATTAGCTTCATACAAATTGTGGAGATCTGAAAGGCTGACATTAAAAGCCACATTTGTTAGAAGATCAAACAAATGCAGCCGATATGGTGAAGCTTACACAAATGTATGAAATCTTAGAACCATTCTTTGTATTTATCACATCGAAACCAAAAAGATAACACCTACAACAGAACCATACTTTTACTTCATCTTTTTTTCCCCTTTAATATGCAACAAAATATTTCAAACTATGAATAAGAAGGGGAATCTTGTTTAAACTAATGACAGTGGTAGATAAAAAGACACAGAAAGCAAGAGAAAAGATAAACCTTGGAGAAAGTGGCATAAGCCAAGGCACTACCTATAGACATTCTTCTACTCCTACATTATTTGTTCTTTATACAATTCACCAAAACCATACAAGTGTGCAGTTTATATATCAAATCAGCATGTTTCAATCACAGACAGATGCAGAATAATCTGGAAAAATACTTAGAGTATTCAGAAAAACATGAAAAAAACATATTTGCTGATACTGCTCCAGATCGACAAATATAGCTTCCAGCCAAAATTAATTAAACTGCTGTACACCCGAAATGGACATATTTATATAAAATGTGTCTGGTATGTGATGCACCTCTCCATCATTGTAGATGTTATAATAAAAATAGCTGGCAGTAGCAAAAAGCCTCAATGGAATGGCGTATATAAAATATATATAAATGAGTCAGCCCTGAAGCTGATGCGCAGCATCATCAAAATAGCAGTTTTCTTAAGGAAAATAAATGTGATAGTGTCAGGGCTTCAAAGTTATGTTGTCAGAACTTAATGCTGTCAAGACTTTTTATGGCTTTACAATTAACTGTATAGATATGAAAGATCTGAAGAAAATTTCACAGTATGAAGACTCATTTATGCCTTGTATAGAATTTTACTTATTTAAATAGGCCTATTACTCAGGATGATTAAATTGTAATGCCACCCAAAAATGTATATTTCTGTTAAGGATGGCAGCGGGCATGTTGAATTCTATGCTGGTTTTGGATATCTCTTGTTAAGTCAGATGGTAACACTCATCTGCTAAAGCCAATACACAGAAACACAATAGTTCTAGTCCTCTGGATGGTTCTTAATAATATTAACTGGGGAAATCATTTCTTGAAGAGGCTAGATAGACAAACTATATAAATGTATATCTCTTTTTAGAATCTTTGGAAATACAAAGTCAAAGGGGTTATTCAATCCACTCTCTTACTTCACCTTAGTAAGTATTCTTCAAGTAGTTGTGATATACACACTGGCCAATAGAGCTTCGAGTTATTCCTTATGGTCCGACATACATTCATAGTAACACAAAGTAAGATGACTTTAGGCAGCTGATTAAGTGATTAGGAAAGGTAATGACTCAAACATTGTCTACAGCAGTGGTTCTCAACCTTCCTAATGCTGTGACCCTTTAATACAGTTCCTCATGTTGTGGTGACCCCCAACCATAAAATTATTTACCCAGTAATTATAATTCATGAGTGTCATTTTACCTCCAATACTGCTGCTTTCAACACAGTAGCAGCTTTTAACAGAGTAGCTGCTTTCAACACAGCAGCTTCTTTCTACACAGTAGCTGCTCTTTATACACATTGGAAATGTGTTTTCTGATGGTCTTAGGGGACCCCTGTGAAAGGGTCGTTCAACCCCCAAAGGGGTCGCGACCCACAGGTTGAGAACCACTGGTCTACAGCATTCCAATTCTAGGGTCAGTAATGAGCATGGATACATATATCATGGCTGTACTTGACAATATCAAATGATACAACAACCTATCACAGCATACAATAACATGGCTGAGCCACAGCTTAACCAAAGTCTACAATAATTATGGCAAGCTACCTTACCTTCGACCCATCCAGACTAATTATCCTGTAGACATTCCTTGTGCTATCATAAAAATAGGACACAGTAACTGCATGTTTGCTGGTAGGAACCCAGTTCTTCTTTGTGTTTGGATCAATCTGGAAGACATGGGCTTTGGTGCTAAAGATGGGTTGTTCTCTGGATGGAAAAAAACAAAACAAAGACTCAGTATGCTTTAAAAAGCAAGCAGACAGTACACCAAAGCATAAGACCACATGCAGCAGCAAGATTATACACACTCATTATACATACATACACACACATACAGTGGATATACAAAGTCTACACACCCCTGTTAAAATGTCAGGTTTCTGTGATGTAAAAAAAAAAATGAGACAGATAAATAATTTCAGAACTTTCTCCACCTTTAATGTGCCCTATAAACTATACAACTCTATTGAAACAACAAACTGAAATCTTTTAGGGGGGAAAGGGGGGTGTAAACATAAACTAAAATAATGTGGTTGCATAAGTGTGCACACCCTCTTATAACTGGGAATGTAGCTGTGTTCAGAATCACATTCAAAATCATGTTAAATAGGAGTCAGTACACAGCTGCCATAATTTAAAGTGCCTCTGATTAACTCCAAATACAGTTCAGCTGTTCTAGTAGGTCTTTCCTGACAATTTCTTAGTCACATCCTACAGCAAAAGCCATGGTAGGCAGAGAGCTTCCAGAGCATAGGAGGGATCTCATTGTTAAAGGGTATCAGTCAGGAGAAGGGTACAAAAGAGATTTCCAAGGCATTAGATATACCATGGAACACAGTGAAGACAGTCATCATCAAGTGGAGAAAATATGGCTCAACAGTGACATTACCAAGAACTGTACGTCCCTCCAAAATTAATGAAAAGATGAGAAGAAAACTGGTCTGGGATGCTGCCAAGAGGCCTACAGCAACATTAAAAGGGACTGCAGAAATATCTGGCAAGTACTGGCTGTGTGGTACATGTGACAACAATCTCCCATATTCTTCATATGTCTGGGCTATGGGGTAGAGTGGAAAGACGGAAGCCTTTTCTTACAAAGAAAAAACATCCAAGCCTGGCTAAATTTTACAAAAAACACATCTGAAGGTTCCCAAAAGCATGTGGGAAAATGTGTTATGGTCTGATGAAACCGAGGTTGAACGTTTTGGCCATAATTCCAAATGATGTTTGGCGAAAAACAACACTGCACATCACCAAAAAAACACCATACCCACAGTGAAGCATGGTGGTGGCAGCATCATGCCTTGGGGCTGTTTTTCTTCTTTTGGAACTGGGGCCTTAGTCAAGGTAGAGGGAATTATGAACAGTTTCAAATAGCAGTCAATATTGGCATAAAACCTTCAGGTTTCTGCTAGAAAGCTGAACATGAAGAGTAACTTCATCTTTCAGCATGACAATGGCCCAAACCATACATTCAATTCAACAAAGGAATGGCTTCACCAGAAGACAAAAGTTTTGGAATGGCCCAGCCACAGTCCAGACCTGAATCCGATTGAAAATCTGTGGGGTGATCTGAAGAGGGCTGCACACAGGAGATGCCCTCGCAATCTGACAGATTTGAAGTGTTTTTTGCAAGAAAGAGTGGGCAAATATTGCCAAGTCAAAATGTGCCATGCTGATAGTCTTTTTGGGTATAAGTCTGAGTGCTGTAATCAAATCAAAAGGTGCTTGAACAAAATATTAGTTTAAGGGTGTGCACACTTATGGAACCATATTTTAGTTTTTTATTTTTACTTCCCTAAAAGATTTCAGTTTGTTGTTCAACTGAGTTGTACTGTTTACAGGTGAAACTCGAAAAATTAGAATATCGTGCAAAAGTTAATTTGTTTCAGTAATGCAACTTAAAAAGGTGAAACTAATAAATGAGATAGACTTATTATATGCAAAGCAAGATAGTTCAAGCCGTGATTTGTCATAATTGTGATGATTATGGCTTACAGCTCATGAAAACCCCAAATCCACAATCTCAGAAAATTAGAATATTACATGCAATCAATAAAACAAGGATTGTACATAGAACAATATCGGACCTCTGAAAAGTATAAGCATGCATATGTACTCAGTACTTGGTTTGGGCCCCTTTTGCAGCAATTACTGCCTCAATGCGGCACGACATGGAAGCTATCAGCCTGTGGCACTGCTGAGGTGTTATGGAAGACCAGGATGCTTCAATAGCGGCCTTCAGCTCTTTTGCATTGTTCGGTCTCATGTCTCTCATCTTTCTCTCGGCAATGCCCCATAGATTCTCTATGGGGTTCAGGTCAGGCAAGTTTGCTGGCCAATCAAGCACAGTAATCCCACGGTCATTGAACCAGGTTTTGGTGCTTTTGGCAGTGTGGGCAGGTGCCACGTCCTGCTGGAAAATGAAGTCACCATCCCCATAAAGCTCGTCTGCGGAAGGAAGCATGAAATGCTCCAAAATCTCCTGGTAGATGGCTGCGTTGACCCTGGACTTAATGAAGCACAGTGGACCAACACCAGCAGATGACATAGCTCCCCAAATCAACACAGACTGTGGAAACTTCACACTGGACTTCAAGCATCTTGCAGTGTGTGCCTCTCCATTCTTCCTCCATACTCTGGGTCCTTGGTTTCCAAATGAGATGCAAAAGTTGCTCTCATTAGAAAAAAAGGACTTTGCACCACTGAGCAACAGACCAGGTCTGTTTTTCTTTAGCCCAGGTAAGACGCTTCTGACATAGTTTGTTGTTCAGGAGCGGCTTGACAAGAGGAATACGACATTTTAAGCCCATGTCCAGGATCCGTCTGTATGTGGTGGTTATTGATGCACTGACTCCAGCCTCAGTCCACTCCTTGTGAAAGTCCCCAACACTTTTGAAAGGCCTTTTCCTGACAATCCTCTCCAGGCTGCGGTCATCCCTGCTGTTTGTGCACCTTTTTCTTCCATACATTTTCCTTCCACATAACTTTCTATTAATGTGCTTTGATTCAGCACTTTGGGAACATCGAACTTCTTTTGCAATTACCTTTTTAGGCTTTCCCTCCTTATGGAGGGTGTCAATGATGGTTTTCTGCACAACTGTCAGGTCAGCAGTCTTTCCCATGATTGTGATTCCTACTGAACCAGACTGAGAGACCATTTAAAGGCTCAGGAACCCTTTGCAGGTGTTATGGCTTAATTAGCTGATTAGAGTGGGACACTTTGAGCCTAGAATATTGCACCTTTTCACAATATTCTAATTTTCTGAGATTGTGGATTTGGGGTTTTCATGAGCTGTAAGCTATAATCATCACAATTATGACAAATCACGGCTTGAACTATCTTGCTTTGCATGTAATGAGTCTATCTCATATATTAGTTTCACCTTTTAAGTTGCATTACTGAAATAAATTAACTTTTGCACGATATTCTGATTTTTCAAGTTTCACCACCTGTATAGGTTACATAAAGGTGGAAAAAGTTCTGAAATGATCAAATTTTTTTACATCACAGAAACCTGACATTTTAACAGGGGTGTGTAGACTTTTTATATCCACTGTGTATATATACACATATATATATATATATATATATATATATATATATATATATATATATATATATATATATATATATATATATATATATATATACACACACACACATATATATATATATATATGTATACATATACATATATATATATACATACATACACATATACATACACACATACACACACACACACACACACACACATATACACATACATATACACACACGCGCGCCACTTTATTAGGTACACCTGTTCAAATTGCTTGGTAACACAAACTGACAATCAGCCAAACACATGGTGGCAGCACCTCAATGCATTTAGGCATCTAGACTTGCTGATGTTCAAGCCGAGCATCAGAATGAGGAAGAAAGGGGATTTAAGTGACTTTGAACGTGGCATGATTGCATGAGTGTTTCAAAAACTGCTGATCTACTGGGATTTGCATGTACAACCATCTCTAGGGTTTACAGAGAATGCTCCAAAAAAAAGAGAAAATATCCAGTGACCAGCAGTTGTGTGGACGAAAATGCCTTGTTGATGTCAGAGGTCAGATGAGAATGAACAGAATGGTTCAAGATGATAGAAGGGTATCAGTAGGGTCAGAACTCGTAAACATGAAAGCATAAATCCATCCTGCCTTGTATCAACGATTCAGGCTGGTGGTGGTAGTGGAATGGTGTGTGGGGGGGGGGTTTTCTTGGCACTAACAAGGTGTACCTAATAAAGTGGCCCGTGAGTGTATAAATAATATACACATACATGAGGTGCATTCAAGTCAAACCAGGACTTTTGAATTTATACAATAAAAGAACAAATTTAAAAGTAGAGGAAGCTGCATTTATTTTTCAACATACTCCCCTGCTACATTTATACAGTTATCCCAGCGTTTATTGTCTGGAAAGATTTGGCATAGAAAGGTTTGTCAGTACACCTGAACCATCCTAGGACAGCCTGCTTCACTTTGTCATCAGTGCTGAAATGCTGATCTCCGAGGGGTCCAAACAGGTGGAAATCACTCAAAACGAGGTCCGGGCTATAAAGGAGATGTGGCAATACCTCCCAGCCGAGTTGCTGTAATGTGCACGTAGTGCGGTGAGCAGTATGAGCTTGTGCGTTGTCCTGGAGAAACAGGACGCCCTTAGTGATCAAACCAGGCAGTTTTCTCCACAGATGCGTATACACATCACTCAGAACACGACAGTAATATTCATTGTTGATAGTGGCACCACGAGGTAGAACATCCACATGAATAATGCCACATTTGTTCCAGAAAACATTTACCATCGCTTTTACCTGCAGACACAATTGTTCGACATTTGAAAGTGAAATGATGTGCCCAGGTTTCGCCAAGTGTATCAGGACATCCTGTTCCATGTATGTACTAACACTGTTGTCTACCATCTTGATTGTTTCTGGACTGGCCCGTGACATGTGCGCCATCTATCAGTAATAGGACACACTTGCCACTTACTACTGTGTTACTACCGCCATGCTAGCATCCCCTTTTTATACCTGTCAAATTAAAAGTCCCGGTTTGACTTTAACGCAACGCATGGAAGGGGCATATGTCAGATAAATAGATTTTTCTTCTCTTGTTAATATACAGTAACTTTTTTTTACCAAGAAAAGAAAGAGTTCAGCATCTCAGTCACTTGTCCTTT